GGGGGCTCAGGAGACTCCCAATCACTTCCCTAATCAGCATTTGTGTGCTGAAAGACTCATGGGATGCAGTTGTCACTAAAGCATCTGGACTGTTGGAAAGGATCTTCCAGCCTGTCCTTGGGAACCCTGGGAAAGGCAGCAGCTTGAAAGTTATATGCAAGAAATGGTGTTTTGTTTGGAAACACAGATATGAGATGTGTGAAATAATGCATAGCTTCACATAAGGAATACACCTACCTCCTCATCTGCTGTCCTCAGGAGACATTAGCAGCTAAGAGGAGCCTTCTGGAGATGTTCGTGGAGGGTGGAGGTCAACTTTCTTGGTATTGGTATTTCTTCCCTGATGAAGTGTAATGATAGCAGCCAAAGAGGGGAAAGTTCTTCAAACTGTTTATGCAGAGAACTGCAAAGGGGGCAGGTGATTACCTTCCCACAGCCACTCCAAAGCTGGAGCAGGAGCCTGGTGGCTTTTTAACCTCTTTTGCTCTGACCTTTCTCATCTTGAATGAGGCACCTGTGGAGCATAAGTTGAACTTGGAACCTGTGTCAACCAATGTACTGCTGGTCTGTGTGAGCTCCCTGCACCACAGCTCCTGCCCTTTTTGGCATGGATGCTGAATGTGGACCAGACATTAACTGAGGAGAAGCAGTGATGTAAATAATGAAATAATGAATGAATAGGAATTAAGGCCTGTGTCATCACAAATAGTAGGGCAGTGAGCTCGCGTTTTGGTCAAAGTTGTGTCCCTTGTAATTACCATTTGAGGATCTAAAAGTTTAGTCAGACAGCCAAGGTCCAACCTCCCTCTATGCAGTCTTTGCCCTTGGTTTGACTTAAGGAGAATGTGACCATAATACTCTCTCAGGGACAAGTTTATGTTCTTATATCCAACAAAGCCTTTGGGCAAGAGCAGCCCCTGCCAGGGAAGTGACAGAAATGGAATGTGTTGCATGCATGCATTGGGAGAGGATGGGGGGCAATGCTGCTGCTCTGTGGGCAACTGAGAAAACAGCCAGAGGAGCCCTTTTAGTGTAGCAGAGGCACCTCCAAAGAGGCAGTGCTGTCCAGGCAGCAGGTTTCAAGCCACAGGGCTGGATCGAGGGGTTGCCATGCACAAGGGCTTTGCTTTTCACGTACCAAGGGCAAGCATCAATGCAGAAAACAATACCAAGCACTTCTCCACATCAAAGATGACCCTGAGAAGACCTGCCAAGAATGTGATTGCATCTGCCTCTGCTCCAGTCATCTGAGGGTCTGTGCTAGGCACAGCCTTCAAAGCATGCCGGAGCAGGAGTCATTGCAGATTTAAGGGGCTGGGAGCTTGTGGACGTGGCT